GCCCACCTCCGTCTGTCAGTGGATCAACAGCTTCCTGACAGACAGGCAACAGCTATTGAGGCTGGGAAAATACACATCCAGCACCCCTCCTCTCCCCACTGCTGTTCTCCCTGTATACCAACGACTGCACCTCTAAAGACCCCTCTGTCAAGCTCCACTGTTGCCATCTGGTCGACGCTACAGAGCTCTGAGCACCAGAACGGCCAGACACGGGAACAGTTTCTTCCCTCAGGTCATCCATCTCATGAACACTTAACAATAACTGTGGAGCACACACTATTTATACACTCATACACTTATTTATCTAACACTCATACTCAGTCTACACCTCAAATTTGCACATAATATACAGTACCTCTACATACAAAACTGTCTATTGTAATATACCTGCACATACAATTGTCAATTTATATATATTTATTCCTTATTTACTTGTTCTATTTTTTATTTTTTATAATCTGTGTTTTTTGTTCTGTCACTGTCATTCTGTTACACTGTGGAAGCTTCTGTCACGAAAACAAATTCCTTGTATGTGTAAACGTACCTGGCAATAAAGCTCATTCTGATTCTGATTCTGATTCTGAAAGGCTGTAGGCTTCAACTCCTGAGAGAGATAAAAGAGAGAGAGAGAGGGAGGCAGAATTAATAAGATACATTTGCTTTAACATGTTTAACTCTGTAATATATATTTCTGATTGAACACTTATGCACTATTGGGGTTGTATAGAGAGAGAGAACTTTACAGAATAATCATGTTACTGACATCTAATTCCAAACTCCAAATTTAAGTATATAAGAGCAAAACACACCAACTGAATGATCTCTCTTCTTTCCTCAATTGTTTGTCAATCCGGTAACACTTTCTATGAAGCCTGTATTTATAATACATTATAAGGGTTTTCTTAAGGCATTATAATTAATGCATAAAGCATTATAAAAAAGCTTAATATGTTGTATCATCTCATAAATAATCATAACATTTATAATACTTACGCATTTGTGGTTATAACTTTTAAGAGTATGATTACGTATAACACACAATGAATACCATAATAAATCCACTTAATTTATAATGGATTATCTTGACATTGTTTATTTAAGATCTGGGCAGTATCTTATTACAACTTGTGAGTGGTTAGGAGTGGTTGAGTGTTGTTTTGAGTGTTTCCTGTGAGGTTCATATTAATTTTGCTGTGAGCTAGTTTAAGATCAGTTGTAATACTTTCAAATGAAAAAATGCAACGTGTTTTTTTTATTAGATTACATTTTATTTTGATGGTGCCCTTTGATGGAGCAACTTTGCAACTACAAGTCAACTAACTCTCATTAGAGTATTAGTAGGCTTAGTTAAGGTTAGGGTTGGTAGAATAAGTTGATGTACTTGCAAAGTTGCTTATAGTGAGTAGAATATCTTTTGGGGAACCATCAAAAAAAGTGTTAGCAGAGATTTAGCATACAGTCTACTAATACGCTAATGACTGCTAGTTGACATGTAGTCGCAGAGTTACTTATCAACAGTTGTCTAAAGGCTACCATCAAAATAATCAAATTGATATTACAATAAAAATAGTTCAAAGCAAATGTGTACACATTCATCTGATCTGATATCAGCTCTTATGGCTGTTTGAGAAAAATTATTATTATTATTATTATTATTTATAAGTGGTCTTTGTCTGCTTTAAGTACAGTGAAGTTACTTCACTTAAAGCAGACAAAGAGAACTTAATAATAATAAGACCACATTAAAGCATTTTGGAATATTTTCATGAAGACTTTGTATTTGTTATTTTACAGTAAAAACACAAATAAGATGTACTAAGTTATTGTGCAGATCTTAAACAATGGCAAAATATGAGACCTATAATACATTATAACTATGTGAAATATAATCCATTGTAACTTAAGTGGATGCAATTTGTTCATTGTGTGTTATAAATCATCATACACTTAACCACAAATAAGTATTATAATACATTAAAACTGTTCTTACGATTATTTATAAGATGATGC